ATATTATAATTAAATAATAATATAATATATATATATATATATATATATATATAAATATATATGCGCTTACCTAAACCACAAATCGAAACAATAATAGTTATAATAATAATAAAAATAATAAATACAATAATAAAAATAATAATAATATATATATATACGTTCAAATTATCCCTATATCAATTCCTGACTATGTGTAAACTAAGGCGATCAGATGTTCTACAACGCGCGAACCATGACCTCGAACGCACTAATTACAGCTCATAAACCATAAACCCGCTAATTAAAGCTCATAAACCATAAAATTAAAGCTCATAAACCAAAAACGCACTAATTACAGCTCATAAACCAAAAACGCACTAATTACAGCTCATAAACCATAAACCCGCTAATTAAAGCTCATAAACCATAAACCCACTTAATTAAAGCTCATAAATCATAAACTCACTAATTAAAGCTAATATAAGGTCGCACAAGAAGCAGACTGTGGTCCTGCAACGTGTGCAATGGGCGCGATAGAGCTGTGTATTGAGTGCTATAAAGTCGCACAAAAGGTGCGTCTCGCCGTACACTAAGTGCACCGACTTCGTGCAATCAGAGATCCAAGGTACACACTTGCTGTACAACACACACAATGGGCGCAATAGGTGTGCCGTACAATGACTGATACGTAAGGCCAAACGACAAGCGACGTCCAGTACAAGGTATGTACACGGGCCGGTACAGCATATGGTGATGGGGGAACGCTTGTCCACTACATACAACGGATGCAGTAGTGTAGTACAACCGCTGATATGTTCATTCCTACCACAAGTCAAGTTCAGTACAATAATATATGCACGAGTGGTACAACATACGGAGATCGATGCCCCGTGCGCCTGTGCTTGAGAGCCTTTATCTGCACCTTCCGGTTGATCCCACTGAAGTGGCCGCCCTTCTCCAGTACATAGCGCATTTGCATGAGCTTGTCCAGCCTAGGGAGAGACAGAAAAGAAAGAAGAAAGACGCGCGTTAGGAATATTCCAAACAGGACACTCAGAGCTCGGAAGGATAGACGGGCATCAGATAGATAGAGGGACTTCCCCTAGTGTCGTGAAAGGGCCAGTTCTCCTAGAGTAGTCCAGACATAGCGCATTTGTGTGAGCATTTGTCTTCTCAGGGAGATAGCAAGGCTTACAGTAGATCAGTTCAAGAACAAACAAACAAATAAACAAACAAAGAGAGGACACTCGTATGAGCTGTAGCCCAGCCCTCATGAAGATAGCAAGGCATACAATAGAACAGTTCATGAACAGATTAACAAACAAAGAGAGGGTACTCGTATGGAACTGTAGCCCAGCCCTCAGGGAGATGAGACAGCACGAGAAAGAGCTTTCCCAAGAATGAGCATAGGGCAAGCGACACACATGCAGGTGTCCTCAGCATCATTCGTGCTAACACGTACCTTTCCTCGATGTCACTATCATAGCCTTCTCCCATAGACAGTAGCTGGCGAGTGAGATCCAGCAGTTTTTGCAGATCGGTGGGTTTCTTAATCTTCAGCTCAGTCGGTTGCCCTTGCTCGCTGTATGACCAATAGGACACCATACCAAACCAACAAGATCAGCCGATACATGTGAGTGTTACAGTAAACGAAGCACCAAGCCGTATGTATATATACTAAGGTGCATCACAGCAGGAAGAAACTGTTCATGCTAGGTGAGTGCTTGAAGATACAGACAAATATAATATACAAGCTAGGTGAGTGCTAGAAGATACAGACTGATATAATGTACAAGCCCGTCGAGTGCGCGACTTGGCTGATGCTTGGCCCAGATACCGATGGAAAAAGAAAGTCGGGATTAACCACAGGCACCACAAAGAAGACGAACCTATCCTATCGTATGAAAAGGGCGCCATGTACCAGAAAGACAGACTCAGTGATACGTACCCATTGAAAAAGGACAGGAACTGCTGGTTCGTAACCAGCATCTTCATTTTCTGCTTCGGGGTGCGGTCGCTGTGTCGGAAGACGCCGAGCACACACCTGCAAGAAAATGAGGATGAGAGGT